CTGATGTGTTATCAAATATTAATGTGTTCAGAGTTCCAAATATTTCGTTGAGAATGAGACTGACCGCTAATTTCTTTTGTGTGTAGAATTCACTGTCGTTGAAGGCTATTCTAGCCTTAAATTGCATTGCTACAGTGGTAAAAAATTTGAAGAGATCCTGTCGGTAAATGAGTATAGTATATATTTTTATGAACAAACTATATCCCAGTATAATCTTCTATCTTAGTGATAATGAACTTGATAATGAACAAATGTTTTTCTTGTACTTTGTATTTGTAAGGAAAAAAGTAGATTGGAAGTACCATTGTGTAGATGGCACTCCTAACAGTACCGGGCATTTTATAACGTCTTAGTGAAGACAACAACGAAGGCCGGATTCCAGGCTGCAAAGATAAAGCATTGGAGTAGACACAAGAAAGACGCAAAAATTGGAGATAATTTGACTTACGAGCATTGCAAAGCTTGATCTACGCGATTTGCTATTGAATTTGCATAGTTTCCTTATTATGACAAAATTCAACGAAAATAAGGTAACGAATGGAAGAAATGTTTGAAGAAACGCCATGCCGTAGAGATCGAATGCTGCGTAAAAGGTGCTCTCCTAAAACAAATTCAAGTAAGAGATCTATTCAGAGGTTTTTTTGAGAAGTGCACTAGACATAGATGTTATGTACACAATCGCTAAAAGATCCCCAAGGCTTTATGACGAGGCTTCCTTATCAGCTTCTAATCATAGTTTCAACAATACATATAACAACAGAAAGACCTCAGAATATATGAAATGTAATGAGAAGTATATGAAACACTGAAAATACCTTTACCCATGGAAGTACATCAACCGCTAAGGTCCGGAAGAAATCAGGACATTCTGGGAAATGCGAAACAGTCAAAGCCAAAGCGGCTGGGATACGAATACCGGTTGCAACGATCACAAGTATGAGTACAGACAGTGGACGAGCTTTTGCGCTGACGTTGGTCCTGCAGTAGATAGGTTTAGTTACCTCATATGTAGTAGTGTAACCCTCAACTACCTAGCCCAATGTATGGCTCACGTCAGAGCAAACTTAGACTCATAATAAGATATTATAGATAAGCTTATGCATATAAATTTCTCATTTCATCTTGCAAAATAAAATGCATTTTATCGTAAAAAGACATTATTACGAAGGGAATAAATCTAAAATGTCAAATGAAATTAAAATTATCTAAAGAAACATGAAGGAGCTTACTTTCTCTTCACAATCCAAGTGTACCGTTCGAATGTGGCCAAAATCAGCATATACGGAATAAGAAGCTGCACAATTTTTGCCGTGGAAAAGGCAAGAATGATATATTTGTGGTAAAATGTGAAGAGATTCTAAAAAATTAAAATACAGATTGTTAAAGCACTAAAGACTAAAGCAAAGTTTTTGCTATTGAGACTTTAAATTAGAAGATTGTCATCATACCAAACCTTAAATATCTTTCTTTGAATGATTAAATTGAATGCTTTAGTTGAATGCCTGAAGATAAAATAGCACTTTGAAAATGACCTTTAGGCATGACTTCATACATAGCTCTGGCCGTTCTGTAGGATCACCTCACACCTAATTTTAACCATGTTTTAAACAAACCAACCAAAGCTGTCGCCTACTTGATTAGCTGCATCAAATTTGCCATTTACTTCATGAATGAACTTTTTACGCTCGTATGGAAATTGTATATAATAGATGCGATCTCTTAGATGCAATACATTCCCCTAAAGCGCTAACAGCGGTGGGTCACCGCACTGGAGTTCTTAAGCGCTGCACGTACAAGGTGATCAACTCATTTGAGAATTTAAAGGTCTCTTCTGATACTTCATGATTTTCTATGAAGTTTAAAATTAGCTTAACATTTTGCCTAATCAAGCGTTTCTTTGCCGAATCCATGCGTTTAAAATTGGCATAGAAAATGACCACTAAAACACTCGCTCTCGATCACTTTTCTTCTATGTCAGGACGTCTCAGTAACCACTCAAAATGGCTATTGAAGCGCCCTGACGTAGAAAACAGATCCGGAGTGCATAACAGGGGTAAATGAAAGTGTTTACTGTTTGACTGTTAATAGCACTTCCATTTCCAGACCTTTTTTTCAAGAGTTCTGTGATTCATTTGGGCCTGAATACATGCGGATTTTGTAGCTCCTTCCACGCACTTCAAGACGGCATAAGTTGCTGCTGCTTTTGCGTTAGCGTGAAGAGCTATTAACTTGCTAAGAACTTTTTTAATCGTATTTAATTGCACTAGATTCTAATACGATAACCTTTCGATATCGTGATGTTTTGCATCGGTTAAGTTAGGTGTTTAAAAAGCATCATCAAGGGTACAATTTTACACCACGATTTCACGTAATCGATAGAAGATTTACTGTATGTGCAAATTTAAGAATAAACTTATCTTTCAAAATGAGTTATTGAGGTCCATAAGAGAGTTATTAATCACACTTTATTTGGGCAAAATCTTGGTTGTTGTTAGAAAAGAATTTGTTGTTTTTGCAGTGGGAGATTCTTTTCTAGTGAGAATCGTTATGCAACATTAATACTGTTTCCACCAAGCAAATTGTTCCAAACAAGCAGCAACTAAGCTTTGTTCTTCCTCTTTCTGTCATATAATTCTTTCTGCAAAGCCAGCAAGATAAGATTCACGCACTCAGCCCAGCAAAATCATAAACTGCCTTCAATATGCTGATCCCATTTTTGCGTAGCCATATTGAATGGTGGAAGCACCTTACTCGACCTTACAGTGTGGCTTATTCATCCTTTAAAATTCCTTATTTCCGGTCAGTGATTCACTTCCATCTTGGCTTTGTAATTACGAGTTTGAAAGAAGGATAAGAATTGGCTGAATCTGA